GCTCTTCCGGTCGCCCCTCCTTCGCCCCTCCCCACCCGCAAGTAGTCCCGCCCTCTCCCCGCCCACCTGGAGAACCCTGCCTGGGGAGGGACTGCAGAGCCGCGGCGCCTCAGGGCCGACCTCACACAACTCTCGCTTGGCCCCGCCTACTAGCCAACTACGTGCCAGCCTCAGGCCCCGCCCACCGACCGCCCGGCCCCGCCCTCAGAACTCACTGCAGCACCTGTGCGGCCAGGCGACCCGGCGAGCCAAGGATTTAGGCGCTGGTGGCGGGGTTCGCCTGTGCAGCTTGCTGACACTGACCAGTCAGGGCATGTAGGTGCAGATGCTGCCCCACTCCTTTATTTTATCCCGCACTCCTGACCCATTACCAGCTTAGCTGCGTTTTATTTTTATTTATTTTAGGATGAAAGCTTCCAAAAATAACAAAAGTAGAAAGAGTATGATAAAGAACTCTCCTAATATGTACCTACCAGCCAGCTGTAAAAACGAATGACCAATATAGATGAAAGCCCTGTAATCCCCTCGAATTCCGCCCTCTCCTTATCCCACGTCACTGAATTCCACGAGTATCACTCTCCCGCCCTATTTCATTCCTACATTACCACTGTTAGGTAACCCCAGGCAAGGTAGAACGCTGTTCTGCTTTTCTCAGACTGTGTACACACGGTCTTTAATGTGTATCTGCAACCTGATGTTTTCCTCTGATTTTTATGAAAGATGCATTCTTCAAGTTATCTTTCTGTACTTTGGTGCTCCACTGTAGGAATAAAGCAGTTTAGCCATTCAACAGGGGATGGGCACTTAAGTTCTTAGTGTTTTGCCAACACACAGGCACAAATGCTGCTACTGTATTTCCATTCCTACACGTGTTTTCTGTCGCCATGTTGCCATTTCTCCAGCAGCTTTGCTGAGTACTAGGGTCCACAGGTACTCAACTTTACTACAAAAAATATTGCCAAGCCTCTTTTCCAAGGCACTTGTAACTGTTCACTGCCAAGATTTTCTTTTTCACATTTCATTTTTAGCCCATCAAGAGTAAGGATCAATTTTTTTCCCCATATGAAAAAGTGACTGTCTTGGGCTGTTCCATAGCACAGTGATTAAGTGTTGTGCATTGGGAGCAAGATCCCACATGGGCAATCGTAGTTTGAATCCCAGCCCTGGAGGGCTGGGTGCACATGTGCCCCAAATCCTGACAGGATGGTGAAATAAAGGAAAAAAGGATTATGGCATGTCCATGCCCCATGGGGGGGGGTACTCTCTCTCTCTCTCTCACTCTCTGGGGAGTACATGCACACTCTGGCAATAAAAAAATAATAATAAAGTAACTGTCTCTTCATCGCTTGAACAGATCAATCTTTTCTCCTGATTTGCAGTGCTACCTCTGTGCTACTGACGTCTGTCTGAATATTTCCTACCGACCATGACTGATTCCAGGCGTGTGTAAAAGAGAAGATCCTAGAACATCTGTTTGTTCCAGAAGATAAGGAAGTTCTCAAATAATGATGGGGACCTGTCATTTGAAAACAAGCTAATTTGAAGGGAGTGGGCACAGCATGGCATCTGTTTTAGTACATTTTTTTTTCTGCTACGAGCAACTGAGTATCTCGCTGCATAACTTATAAAGAATAGAGGTCTGCTTAGCTCATAGTTATGGTGGTCCAAAGTCCAGAGGCCCCTTTTAGTGGGGTCTTCTCGCTGGTAGGCTCTCTGCAGAGTCCTAAGTGACACAGGGCATTGTATAGCAGGAAAGGGAGAGTGGATGTGTCTGTGTCTCAATCCCACACCTTATAAACCCATCTGGATTTAGTCATGTAGCGTCACCTTAATGACTGTAATTCTAATCACCTCCCAAAGACCCTACCTTCAATGCCATTCACTGTCTTAATCCTATCATAGTAGGAACAAATCTCAATCCATGAGTTTTGGGGGGATATATTCAAACTATAGCAGGATCATAACTCAGTTGACCAAAAAAGTCCATTAGTCCATATTGGTTTAAAAATTAAGTTGGGCTGGTTCTGTTTCCTAATGGTTAAGAAAGCCTGATCCCACATGGATGACTGTGGTTTGAATCCTGAACCTGGCAGCTTGAAAAATGTGCTGGGCGCATGTGCTAGCATGCCCCAAATTCTGATAGGATGGAGAAATGGAGAGAATGACAATGCCCCATTGGGGGATATTTTCTCCCTCTCTCTCTATCTCTCTCTGGAGGGCATGCATCCCTCTGGTAGTTAAAAAAATTCAATTAAATACGAGAGGGGAATTCTTTACAGAAAAATGCCTGCTAATAAATTTAATAATAAATATTGAAGAAATGACTAAATTAGAAAATCAACACTTTGCACTAAGACACAATGACTACAGACAAGAGGTCTCATTAAATGCTAGATCACTTGGTGAGAGGTTGTTTGGGAAAGGCACGCTTACAGTTTCAAAATATCACTCCACCAATTACTCATTAACCACAAAAGAAATAAATGGAGACTTCGGGCAGAAACCATCTCAACTGTGAGAGCAAACTTATCACCAACAATGGGTCAAAGTCACATTGTGTTCTTTGCCATGCCTACTGCGAGGATGAAGACCATTCTCAGCAACCCAACAGTCAACATTCCCGAGAACGTGGACATCACCCTGAAAGGAAGGGCCCCCCAAGGAACCCTGCGGAGGGACTTCAACCACATCAATGTTGAGCTCAGCCTCCTTGGGAAGAAGAAGGAGAGGATGTGGGTTGACAAATGGTGGGGAAACACAGGAGCTGGCGACCATTTGCACTGTCTGTAGCACGTCCAGAACATGATCAAGGGTGTTACATTGGGCTTCCGCTACAAGATGAGGTCTGTGTATGCTCATCTCCCCATCAGCATTGTTATTCAGGAGAATGGGTCTCTTGTTGAAATCCAAAATTTCTTGGGTGAAAAATACATCCAGAGGGTTCGAATGAGACCAGGTGTTGCTTATTCCGTATCTCAAGTCCAGAAAGATGAGTTGATCCTTGAACTTGTTTGATATTGAATGATATTGAACTTGTTTCCAATTCAGCTGCTTTGATACAGCAAGCCACGACAATTAAAAATAAGGATGTAAGAAAATTCTTGGATGGTATCTATGTCTCTGAGAAGGGTACAGTTCAGCAGGCTGATGAGTAAGATCTAAGAGTTTTCCAGCTACAGTAACAAGCCGGATAATTTCTAAGGCCTTCATATGACATTTTAAAGATGAATAAAAGACAACAATTGATTTGGAAAAAATAAGTCACATTGCGTTGCTCCTAATCTGATGCACTAAATATATGACATAATTTGTATAGTACATTGCCCTGCCAAAAATGCATAACCTAAATGCTTGGCGTGTTTCTCCGATTGAGTTTCGGGATTTAACAAGAGCCATAAAGGACATTATTGGAACAAGTGGGGGACACTGAAGGTTGGTAATAGCATCAAGCTGATGTTCAGTTTCAGCATGGTCAGTTTACTCTGGTAACATAGGAGTGTTACTGAACCAAAGTGTTTAGGCCAGGTCTTAATATACGTAGAAGCCAATCTCTGAAACAATCGGAGTTCCCAAAAAGAAAAGATTTATTCAATTAGAGATGGGCTTCAAAACCATCTTCTTGAGTGAACAGAGTCTGGGGTTTTGAAAGAGGAGAAGTGATGTGATTATGTGAGGTGAGCAGGTAAAAGAGCGTGGGGCAGGCAGGTGACGTCTGTGAAGATGTCAAATCTTAATTCTGATGGACTATATCAGAATGCCTTCATGTTGATGTCAGTGAGTCTACCATCATCTGGTTTGTTTCCATTCCTTGTTCGCTGTGGGGAAAAAAGACTCAAAAACATATATTGCTATTATCAGTCTATTAATACATCTATTTTACATGGGGTAGGAAGAACATTTAATCAAAGCTGAAAGTTTAGTTTGCCATGGCCTTGGCTATTGTAACCAAGTTATTGACATACGTGTTCCTCCTTTTTTTTTTTTTTAAAGAGATTTTTGCTATAGGGCCCACAGAGGGACAGAGACAGAAAGTGACAAATCACTCCCCTAGAGGAGATGACCATGCCACAATCTCTTCTCCTCCATTCTCCTCTCTGGATTTTGGGCACACATGCATGTGCACCCGGTGTAAGTTCTAAGCTGCTGGGTCTGGGACTTGAACCATGGTCGACTATGTGGGAGTTCAGCAACGTAACCATTATGCCATCTGCTGGTCCCTACATGTTACTTTTCAAAGTAAAAAAATTGGGGCTGGCCTGGTGATCTGGTGGTTCAAGGAGCCAGATCCCACATGACTGACTGAGCAGTTCAAATTCTAGCCCTGGCAGCTTGAAAATATGCTGTGTGCACATGCATGTCCAAAGATGTCAACAGGTGGAGAAATGGAGGAAAATGGATGGTGGCATGAGTATGCCCTACTGGGGAGTGCTTTCTCCCTCTCGTTGGAGAGCACATTTACCCTCTGGCAAATAAAAATAAACAAAACAAAACAACAACAACATAAACCAGAGGTTAGATATAAGAGCAAGCTAAGAAAGCATTATTTATATAGTTAACCATTTAGGGTCAGTATCAGGAACCTGCCCTCAGTCTTGGGATATAGATACTGAAAAATTTAGGAAAGATATTGTGATAGCTACAGCTAACTAAAGGTTCTGGAAAAAAGAAAACACACACATATTTAGAGAGAGATTAGTAAAAGAGAAATGTAAAGCAGCGAACTATTTACAGCTGTTGAGCAACCCCCCGCCCCCCAAAAAAAATGTTTGTGAAGGACACAGCTGTGCTGTTCAGATCCCTCAGCCTTAGCTGTTGGGTGAGGGGTAGGCAGGTACTTTTGGCTGTCCACTGCTCCAGGGGCTGCCTCCCCAGAGGTTATGTCCCTGCAAAAGTGGCCCTTTTCCAAGAACTCATGGAGGCTGGAGCAGACAGGGCGGCCTTTCCAGCCCAACAGGATATACTCTGCAGGCTTTCTTGGCATTGAAACTTCCCCTGAAAATTAGCATAAATGGTTGGGATCTTGCTGTGACTCAGCTTCTTCCTGTACTCAACCCGCTTTACCTGCTCCCATCCTTGCATGGATGTGATCCTACTCCTAAACTCCATCTCTAGGTTACTGCCCTGGGGACTCAGACTGTGACTGGTTCCTAGTAGTAAACTTCTATGACAACCTAAAGGAAACTGCCTCGTGGCCACTCTCGGTTTCTCTTACCCTGCTTTATATCTCTCATTTTCACCTATATGTATGTACTTGATTATGTGTTTATTGAGTATCCTCCTTCACCACCGAACGTGAGTCATATGAACAGGGATTCTGTTTGATTTGCTCAGTGCTGTGTACCCAGCAACTACACCCGCATCTGGATTTACCAGATGCTCAATAAATGTGCGTCTCGTGCCTTTAAAGCCGCATTTGCTATGGAGGAAACTGAGGTTCTGGGAGCTCCACGCCCACCCGGAATAACGAACATATCAGCCTGGCGCCGCCTCAGTGTGGGGGGGGTCCTACAGTGGCTTTAAGTCCCCAGCGCGGGACAGAGAACGGGGCTGGAGGAGGAGATGGGGGCGGGCCGTGGGCTGTCAATCTTGCGCCCCACGGCAGCCGAGTGGTGCGGACGGTGGGTCTGGAGTCAGCTCACGCGCCTCGGCCAATCGAAGGGCGCGGAGCTGCCGGCCGCTCAGGGCTCGTTTCCTACTGGTCATTAATTGTAATATGTCATGTCGGAGGCGGGGCTGCGGGCCTATCACACGGGGCCGCTAGGTGGGCAACCTCCCGGGAACGCTGGTCTGGGCTGGAGCAAGCGGAGCGCGCAGGTGAGGAAGGATGTGTGTTCAAGTGGGGATGGGGAAGAAATGCGTACTCAAGTGTGCGGGGCGCCTGGGCAGTTGCCGGGGATTAGGGGCTGTAGTAGCGTGCTAGGGAGGACAGGGAACGCGAGCGCAGGTTAAGGAGGTGCCCAGGCACAGGCCGGGCATGGGGCGACGTGCGTGCAGGTGAGATGACCTGCGCTCAGGAGAGGAGGAGCCCACCCACATGTAAGGAGCTGAGGCTACTCAGGTGAAGACCGGGCGCGTCTTTAGACAGGAGGGGCCTGGTGTGCTGGGGCGCCCGTTGGCCTACCTGAGAGACCTCTTAGGGATGCTCTGTCCCCGCATGATCGGAGGCCCCTCGGCAGCCGGGCCGGCCCCTAGCTCCGAGGCTGTTTACGGCAGAGTTTTCGGTTTGAGGAAATAACGGAGCAGCGAGAAAGCAGGGAGCGGATAGGAAATGCTGCGTGCCTTACTAGGAAACGATCCGGAGTACGGGGGATTGGATGGGCAGTGAGTACCCACACAGGCTGGACGCTTAAAACGACATTTTACACTTTAGTTCAAACTTCTTTTGAGGGTTGGAATTGCTCTGATAGAGTTTCCAACAAAAGGTAGAGGAAGGAGAGCTGGAAACAAGGGATTTTTGTTTTTCTTTTTAATCAAAAGTGTGTGAGACCACTGTTGTTTAAATGCTGGGCATTTCCTGCCGGTCAGACTCTGTGCTTAGTGCTTTGAGCTGAATTTTCAGAACAATCACCTGTCAGGCACACGTGCATTTTACCTGAAGTGACCTGTGGAGGCTCTCTTACTTAAAAAGCAACAGGCTTCATTTGTGTAGAACAGCCCTGGCTGCCTTGCTCGCGTTCAAGGACTGAGAGAAGACAACACTCCCTGCTTGCCGTTTCCCTCTCTCAGGCTCCCAAGCTAATGATCAGAGTTGACCAAAGACCAAGAATTCCATGCTGAACTTCTGATTTTTCTCCAACAGTTTGTGTTTGGTAACTGTGACTCTGCCCAGAGCTGAGGAAGGGACCCAGTGACTATTTGGCTTGCCTTGGTTTTGGGGCTGGGTGTTCTTGTGTTCATCTGAGCTTTTCCTACAGCTATAAAGTTAGGGGGACAGCCCGGCTACACCACCTGACACGCTGGGGTGTGTGCTCTGCCTGTAATTAAGGCCTGGTATCCGGGGTCTGCATAGTGGGAGGAAAAGGCCCTTTTGTACAACGTTATGGGAGCAGGTAGTGACTTGCTGCCTGAAGACAATTTGATGAATCTCTCTCTCTCTCTCTCTCTCTCTCGCTCTCTTTTTGATGAGAGACTTGCTATAAGGCATGTGTGCTTGTGGGAGAGAAAGAAAGCAAGAGATCACCCCCCAGGAGGGGTGGTCACACCTTCCTTATTCTTCTCTCAGAATTTTGGGCATACACACACACACACACCCACACACACACACCTGGTGTGAGTTTTAAGCCTTGGGGTCTGAGACACAAACCGTGCTCAGCCTGCTCGCGAGAAAGACAGAGAGACAGAGAGAAAGTGAGAAATCACCCCCCAGGTGGGATGGCCATGCCACAATCCCTTCTCCTCCATTCTCCTCTTGGGATCTTGCAGAGTAGTGGGTAGAAAACCTACAGGTGAGCGCAGGTGCAGATCACACAAAGGATCACCCAGGATCACCGCAAAGGCTAACAGGATGGTTTCTGGCTCTGTCACGTCTTATCTTAGCATACTTGAAACTTGCTAGGTAAACAATTTAAGTTATTAGTTGAGCTGTGCTTGCACACTTGTTATGTAATTATGTTGCTGTTTTACACCAGTGTTGTCTGTAGCCCCTTTAAGAGAACAGAGCACCTGGTCAGCTAGCACTGCCCTTCTAGATATCCCTGCTCTGCTCAGTCATCACTTGGCCTGCTCATTCTTGATGGCCTTGACTTGGCCTTGGTTTAGCTCAGCCCTGTGCACTGCGAGCAACAAAAAGGAGAAAGTGCTTGTGAGCACTGCCATAGGCTTTGCAAGCCTACTAAGAGCTCTGTGAGCTCCCACTAAACTCAGCCAATAAACAATGTGACATCAGTGCCTCATGTCTTTTTCCACCTCCCTGCATCTCTATCCAACCTACTCTTCGGAGGAGGAAAGACCCTTGCAAAATGCCAACCTCACCATGACTTAGAGATGAGTAGGTGTGCAGATGTCCTTCCCGACCTTGGTTAGAGCCACAGATGTTCCCAGAATGGTGGCTCTTTGACTCTAAAAGCTGTTTAAAAACATTTTTCTTATTGGTCTATTTATTTTATTTTACAAGTACTTTTGGAAAAAAAAATGTAAAAAGTAAGAAAAATAGAGAAAAAAGAAATGCTTGTATGCTTAGCACTGGTTAAGGGTTTGGTGTGTAGTTCTTCTAGTATTTTTATTTAAAGAATTATTTAATTTTATTTATTATTATTACTAAAGTTGCTATAGAGCATGTACACTCATGAGAGAGAGAGAGAGAGAGAGAGAGAGAGAAGACAAGCTGCCAAGTCCAGGACTCATACTGTGGTCAGCCATGTGGGAGTCCTGTTACTCATCCTGTTGTCAGCCGTGTGGGATGCCTGTTCCCTAACCACCACACCACCTGCTGGCCCTTTAGTGGTCTTTTGCTGTGACACATATGGGGCTTCTTCCTTGTGCACACAGAACATGCTTGGTTCCCTAACCACCACACCACCTGCTGGCCCTTTAGTGGTCTTTTGCTGTGACACATATGGGGCTTCTTCCTTGTGCACACAGAACATGCTTGTTCTTCTTTTTCTTTTTTTTTTTTTTTTTTTTAGTTTTGCTACAGGGCATGTGTGCTCACTGTAGAGAGACAGAGAGGGATAGAAACAGAGGGAAAGTGAGAAATTACCCCCTAAGGGGGGATGGCCACACTGCTGTCCCTTCTCTTCCATTATCCTCTCAGGATTTTGGGCATGCACGCACAGCACCTGGCGTGATTTTCAAGAGTGTAGGATCTAGTTGCCTTAACCGCTATACCACAGGCTGGCGTGAGGAGCGTCATTAGGAAAATAAAGCCATAGGTACAATGCTTTGGCAAGGAACCTGGGGAGCAGTCAGTTTAGACGGGCTGGTAAGGGAAGGTCTACTGAGGGAGGGATGTTTTACATAAGCCCTGAATGAAGACACCTGCAAATGCATTGGAAGCAGAGGAAGTAACAGATGAACATATTCAAGGTACAGATGCACGTGTACCTGCAATAGAGGGAATGAGGGGAGAGTGGCTTACAAGAAGGCGCTAGGTAGGAACTCATTCATGCCACGAGAAGGCCACGCATTGAGAAGTGATTGCAGGCTCCAAGAAAAAAGACTAAGGTTGCATGATCTTTTCCCTGCCTGGAATCTGCTGTAGGGACAAGGTACTAAGAAGGCATGCAGAGGAGACCAGGCCCATGAGGCCTGAGAGCAGTGTGCATAAGGCAGAGTGGGCTGTCTGTTCTTTCTGGTACAATCTGAGCAAGGTGTCTCCTTCCTTCAGGGCCCAATGGCTGCAAAATCCCAACCCAACGCTCCTAGAACCAAGAATCCTACTGACATCTCCAACGGCAGCACTGCACCTCAAGGGCAATGGGGCCGTGCCTGGTAAGGACCCCATTCTCTCCAGCTAGAAAATAAAGTGAGGCCTTAGAGGTTTCTAGCCTTTAGGATTTTATAGACCTACTTTAAAAAAATGTATTTTTTATTGTGAAGACCAATGAAAAGTAAGCAGTTTCCCATTTCATAAAGTAAAGAATTAAAAAAAAATAAAAACTAGAAAGCATTATCACCAAACAATGTCTTAAGGCATGGACCTCACAGCCAACCAGTGCCCACTACTCCAGTATGGTGCAGGGTTGTCAAGGTCCTGTTGCACTATAGAGCGAAGGAAACTTGGGTGTGGGTGAGTGTCCTCCCTGGCCTGAAACTGGGGCTGCACCTGCATGACCGTTATGCAAGGTCTTCCTGAATTTGTATTTCAGGTGCCAGGCTTTCTGTGGGTGGGTGCCCACCGAGCGATCTCTGAGTGATCATGGTAGAACCTGTATACCGAGTGGCTTCGCCAGCAGAGGAGGCCTTGGTGCTAAGAGGTGCTGGCTGGTTGGAACAACAGGTTGTGCACACGAGGCCATCTCTAAGTGAGTCTAGTGTGCGTCAGAGGGTGGGTGGTCTCGGCATGACTGCCTGCATCTGTCCTTGCAGGGAGGTAGACTGGTTCTCCCTCGCAAGCGTCATCTTCCTGCTGCTGTTCGCGCCCTTCATCGTGTACTACTTCATCATGGCGTGTGACCAGTATGGCTGCTCTCTGACTGCCCCCATAGTGGACCTTGCCACAGGTCATGTTGGACTCTCAGACATCTGGGCCAGGACCCCGCCTGTGACGAAGGAAGCAGCCCAGCTCTATGTCTTGTGGATCACATTCCAGGTCAGCACCCCCGGCCCTGTTCTCCTGCTAGGATAGTCCTTGCCATTTGTTGGAGACATGGGATCCTCACTCAGGTTGATGTTCACATTCCTAGGTCTCAGCAGAGCATTATCTGGAATGGATGCCCTTAAACGCATCAGATACAGGGCAGAAAGCACTTGTCAGCACCCAGTATCCCACACATCTCTGTCAGGCACCAGGATGCAAGAGTGTGTCCAGCCCTGCAGGGACATGCTGAGTATAAGGAGCAAGACCTGGAAGGGGAGGAGCCAGTCCAGGGAAGCTCCATTGCATCTTATGCTAGCCCCCAGGAAGGAGCATCCCAGGTCCCAGAAGGACATTCCTGGCTGCAGGAGGTTCCACTTGGCAAAGCCAAGGTCTCCTTCCCCATGGGTGGTTGTACAAAGATGACATGTAGTACAAGATTGTGGTCAGAGATATCCTTGGTCTATTGTGACCCTACTGGTCTTTCAGTCCAGGAGGTCACCAGAAAGGGGTTGTTTTCTCAGTACATGGTCTGTCCAGGATGAGGTCTCCAGGGAAATAATGTTGGCAGAAGGCAGACCCTGGGTTTCCTCCCTGGAAGAAAGCGCAGACTATTAGTAGCTCTTCTCTCCAGGAAGGGACCAAGCTGGTGGGCTCCTGAGTCCTCTCCTTTCAAGTCTCGTGGTCCCTTAGGGTAGAAAGTGGCAGGCAGTGTGATTCAACAACAATGAAAAAGCGGCAACGACCCAAATGTCCACCAGTAAGCAAAGGGATAAACAACGTGCTGCATCCGTCATGGAATATCATTTATCAATAAAAAGGAATGCAATTCTGAAACATGCTGCAACAAAGATGAACCTGGAAAATACCATGTTAGCTAAGAGACGACAGTCACAAAAGTCCCCACATCATGTGATGTTATTTATATGTGCTGCCCAGAATGGGCAGATTCAGAGAGATCAGGAGTTGGCAGGGGCTACTAAAGGAAGGAATTTGGACCACCTGCTAATAGGATCAAGTTTCCCTTTTATGGTGGTGTAAAAGTTCCAGAATTAGACAGTGATGATGGCTGCCCAATCTTACGAATGTCCTAGATGCCGCTGAATCATATATCCTTTTAAAGGATGAATTTTACGGTATGTGAATTATATTGCAACTTTTAAATGACTCTTTCCCTCCAAAAAAAGTGACTGGGAAGGACTGGTGTGCCTTGGAGAGGCGAACGAGGCCATAGCAAGGAGAATGCTTTGTTGCTTTAGATGATCAGTGAGTTTCCTGTTCAGGACCTGCAGTCAGAGCTCCCTGGGACAATGAACTCTTCTGGAATGAAAAGCTGTCAAGTAACACCAAATCTTGATTTCTCTGCTTTCGTGTTTGTCGTCTGTCAGTAAAGTTCAGGCCGTGGTCAAACACTTATAGCCGGGCCTTACAGGTTGCTGGTTAATTTGGTCTAAAATTCTGTGTTCCAGGTGCTTCTGTACATATCTCTTCCTGACTTCTGCCATAAATTTCTGCCAGGCTATGTGGGAGGAGTCCAAGAGGGGGCTGTGACTCCTGCAGGTAACCCCCCCTCCCCATCTGCCCATAGCCAGGCCCTATATTCAGCCTGGTGGGCTTCCCTCCTGGCTGTGGCCTGTCCCCTCATTTCATGTATTCTCCTCTGCTCCAGGCTACTGCCATCCCAAAGTCTTCTCACAAAATAAAAGTGAGTTTTATCTAGAAATTTCTTTTATTTTTATTTTTTTTTAGGGGTTTTTGCTATAGGGCGTGTGCGCTCATCAGAAAGACAGAAAGAGACAGAGAAGGTGAGAAATCCCCCGGAGGGGATGGCCACGCCGCAATCCCTTCTCCTCTCGGGATCTTAGGCACGCATGCATACATGCCCGGCATGAGTTTAAGCCACCAGGTCTGGGACTCGAACTGCAGTCGACTATGTGGGAGTCCAGCGACATAGCCATTATGCTAACTGCTGGTCCCAACCTAGAAATTTCTTAAAGCACTAGGCCTTGAGATAACTGAGGGTGACTAGGGCTGGCCTAGATACAAGTTGCTTTCCTCATTAAAGAGGGAGCTGTCTGTGGCCACCTGCCCCTTCTCTGACTTCCTGGCAGGTGGATGTACCAGGGCTCAGAAGCAGCCTCCTGCAAAGACCACTGATGTTCCATAGGGCCATCTGCAGGGCAGTGTCTGTTTTAGAGGCGATAGAGCTTCCTCACCCATTCACTCCTTGCCATCACAGAACCTGCAAGGGGCCCAACTTCATGCTGTGCATGAGGCTGGAAGGGTGGGAGACAAAGGGGTGGATGAGATAGCAGACTGGGTTCCTATCCCCGTCTCTCCTTTGAAGAACTTCCAGTCTAGCAGGAGGTTGAGACACTTTCCAGCAATTACAAGGGAAGCCTGGGATGCCATAGGGGCATCCTCACTCTGCTTTTGCAAAAACTTGGCCCCAAATTCTCTATCAAACTGCAGATCTATTACTCAGCCCATTGAGGAGAATCAGAACTGAAGGGATAGGGCTGGCTTCCTCACCTTCTTCCAAGGATTTAGCAAGAACAGCTAGTTCTTAGTCCAAATGGGAGGGGCACTACTTTTGACCTGGTAGGCTGGGATTGCAGCGACAGTTGACTGGCTTATTCTGGAATAGTGCCCTGGACAAGGGTCTGCAGAAACAGAGTTCCAGAAAGCAAGCAGGGCTGTGGCCAGGTGTAATAAACAGCCAGGCCAAGTTCTTTGACACAGGTTAGGGAAACACATTACTTTTTAAATCTTCCTTCTGCAGGAGTTGTAAACAAGTATGAAATCAACGGTCTGCAAGCCTGGCTCATCACCCATCTCCTTTGGTTTGTCAACTCCCACTTCCTGTTCTGGTTCTCTCCAACTATCATCTTTGACAACTGGATTCCGCTGCTGTGGTGTGCCAACATCCTCGGCTACACTGTGTCCACTTTCGCAATGATCAAGGGCTACTTTTTCCCTACCAAGGCTGAAGACTGGTATGTTCTTTAGTAGCTGTCCAAGCCTAAAATGCAAAGTGGATGCTTCTATGCCTTGCCTTTTTCTGCTACCTTTACCTTGGGAGATCAGGTTGAAGGAGGAGGTGAATGGAACTGGTTTTACTGGGGAATATCCTATTTAAATGTCTGGCTGGTGGGCTGACTCTGTAGCCCAGTTGTTAAGTGAGCTGGATCCCACATGGTGGACAATGCAATTTGGATCTCAGACCATACTGGGTATGTCCAAGATTTCAATAGGATGGAGAAATGGAGGAGAAGGGATTGTGGTGTGACCATGCCCTACTGGGGGTAGTTTCTTCCTTTCCTCATCTCTTTCTCTCTTTCTCTCTCTCTCTCTCTGAGTCTCTCTGGTGAGTACATGCATGCTCTGGCCATTAATTAAAAAAAAATAAATAGATATCTGGGTTCCTTCTCCTGCTTTAGGAAGAATGCAGCTGAAGGTAGCCAAGTCAGTCTTTGGTGGCCCAGTTATCCCCAGTAGAGTTGTCATGGGAGCAGGGAAACCAGAAGGACAACATCTGACTGTTGCTTTCTTTGGAATATCTAGTGTGGCCTGAAACTATCTCCATGAAGAGTCTTGTCTTAGCTGCTATAATGTAACAGTTTCATGGAATAGCCATGCTGGTTGGCACTCATTTTCTTGGAAGCCTTGGGTTTCTGAACAATGGTCAGCCACCCATCCCATCCAATCCCATCCTATCTATTTACCCATCCACTCATCTCTCCATCTCTCTATCCTTCTACCCACTCACCCTTCTGTCTATCCATCCATTCATCCATCCCTTCCCACTTACCTAGCAGCCTATCCATCTCCATTTATCCATCCTTTCACCCATTTACTCTTCATCTCCTCCACTCATCCATCCATTTCTCCATCCATCCATAAAACCCATCCCATTTATCTGCCCACCTAGCCATCTTATCCACTCATCCATCCATCTCTCCATCTATTCATAAAACCCATCCTATTCATCTGCCCATCTTGCCATCTTACCCACTCATCCATCCATCTCTCCATTCTTTTACCCATTTACCCTTTCATCTCATCCATCTATCTATCCATCCACAGATGTGTGATGGACTCCTTTTAGAAAGAAGGCAGTAGAATCTATAACTTAGTCTGGGGGTGTGTGTGCCCAAATAAAAGCAGTGTTTCCATTAACTATTGCACATGTGCTCTTAGGAAGTATCTCTGGATGATAGTACTTTATTGTTTGTGTGTTATCAGATCATGAGGCTAGTCTGCTTGGAAAATTATTTTCACTGCTTTGTAATCACATCAGCTGTTGTAGATTGCTTTGTAATGACATCAGGCTTTGTATATTGTTTTTGTCTACTTTGCCTAACTTAGGGAACTGGACATGAACATATATTTTTCCAGTTACCACAGAAATCCCAAATTATTCCCAGCAAGGGTTGCCACATGGATTATCTCAGCTGATTTTCTGGGCCCACAGGGGGCTTCAGGATCAGTTAACCAAGGGAATGAATGTTTAAGGAACTTGTCCAACAAGTGGTAGATGCGGTTCTTGGAACCCAGGCACCTGATTCTAAGCAGGGTGCTTTTTTTCTTTCTCTATGTTGGCTTAATTTATGATTTCACTTGCCTATTGGGGGCTCAGGTACCCCAAATCTACTTTAAGCCAGGCTCAGGCTGCAGAATGAAGTCTGAGTCCAGTCCAGACAGTTTTGCAGCCCCCCCGCCCTATGCTGAGCAGCAAGAACACTTGGGTGCTGAAGGGAGGTGGGAAATTGGGTGCTAGCTCGCTTATGTCTTCTGCCCATCCCTGGAATAGAATGGGTATCTTTTTTTATTTTATTTAATTAATTTATTTGACATGTTTTATCTTATTTAGATAGCATTCTGATCACACATGGTCCAAGCACATTCAAATAATAAGTCAAATATATAATCAAATGTTAAAAGATTGGTCTTCAAACATTATGACCAATGATGCCATGCTTACCTATGATCTCGCCAGCATAAAACCACATCCACACCTCAGTGGCCACCAAACCATTCAGCAGAGTTACCTTAACCGTGAGATGTTTGAAGTACCAGTTTGAGCACTACTGACTAACTTTTTCAGGTTCTGAATAGCTGTAGGAATCTCAGCCAGGGGTTGGAGGAACCAGCTCAACCTTGGTGTAGTGCCAAAATGTGGCCAATTGAGGCTTCGAGTAAGTCACAGCAGTGTTCACCAGTGCCAGGGCCTTCTCCGTGAGGTTACGGACAAACTGGGCCATGGTTCTGGGAGAAGTCCATTGCCCTGAATGGCTGGCTGAATGTCTCTTTTTTTATTGTTTAAAGAATTATTTTTTTATTTAATTTTATTTATTCATTCATTTGACCAGAGAGAGACAGAGGAAGAGAGAGAGCAAGAGAGGGAAAGTGAGAAAGCAAGCCACCAAGCCCAGGACTTGAACCCTGGCTGGCTATGTGGGAGTGTCTGGCACCTTAACCACTACGCTACCCTCTAGTCCCAAAAATGGGTATCTTAAGTGCTCTGTTTAAGGATTTCTCTACCGAGCCAGTGCTGGGCACAAAGTGAGCGTGAACAAGGGTGTTGGGGAAATGAACAGGAGTGGAAGCATTTTTTTTTTGCGGCTCAGGGCACACCTTCACTGGAGCCGTCTCATGTCATTGTCAGCACACACTAGGCGTGTGCTGAGCATCTGTATCCATGGCAGCAGGGTAGGCCGGTGTTGTGAGATGTGCTTTTCCTCTAAATACCTTGTATTTATCTTTTAAAGCAAATTCACAGGCAATTTCTTTTACAACTACATGATGGGCATTGAGTTTAATCCCCGAATTGGGGAGTGGTTTGACTTCAAGCTGTTTTTCAATGGACGCCCTGGGATCGTCGCCTGGACCCTCATCAACCTGTCCTTTGCAGCTAAACAGCAGGAACTCTATGGCCAAGTGACAAATTCCATGGTCTTGGTCAACGTCCTGCAGGTAACCTGTTTGTAGTCAAAGTGGGTAGAGGCTTTGATGCTTGCTGGGCCTTGAAAAAATTGGAAAGTTAGATATTTTCCAAAAACCTTAATCTACTACTTTGAAAACAAAGGCAGTTCCCCTCCCAGGTATCTGTATCTGTATCCTGGGACACAGGCTGGGGAGCACATAGTGGAAGAATCCATTAGCACTTGCCTGGTGTTGTGTCAGGAATGAGGCAGGTGCCACCTGCCTGGTCTGGAAGGGTGCTCCCTGGGGATTATGCTTGGGTGAACTCTTGGGGATGAGTAGGAGTTAACCAGGTAAAAGAGGGTAGGCAGAAGTGGGGGCAAGAGGAATAGCCTATGTGAAATCCCTATAGTGAAAAGGATGGCAAGTCTGGGAAACTGAGTCACGTCTCATGTCTAGAGCAGAGAGAGTTTGGGAGCTCAGAGAGCCAGGTGAGGCTGGAGATTGATGGGCCATGCCATCTGGGGCTCTGCCATCCTCATGGACTTGAAATTTTATCTTAAAGAGTGTGCAAAGCTGGGTAGGGGTGGAGTGAACCAGGTGTGTTCAGAAGGCTCTCTCGGAGTAGATGGGAGAGCAGGCTGGAAGGGCCCAGGTGAGTGAGGGAGGCCACTTGAGATGCCATGGGTATAGTTTCAGGAGGAAGTTGACCAGAACCATGGGGTAAAGATGGGTGCAAGAAGGTGGGTCTGCCTGGGGAGGAATCCACCCCTTCCACAAGCTCTGGTTCGGTGCTGGCCCATGGCAGGTGCCATTCCAGGCCCCAGGCACCTGGGCTGGATAAGCCACCAGGCCATGGCCTCGGACAACTTACATTCTGGTGGACAGCGAAGGAGTCTTCTCTCTTGGAGTAGCTGCCACACGGCCTCTGCCGTCCTGTGCTGTGTGGCTCCCTTCTGTGGAAGGGGAGAGGAGAGGAGAGGGGAGGAGGTCAACTCTGCCGTGGGAATGCTGGTGGTTTTGGCTCCCCTGGGCCAGGTGCTGATGTCCGAGGCACTCAAAGCAGAGACCACCTGTGGATGTCATGGACAAATCCCAGGCTCTAGGCAGAGGTGCTTCTCTTCTCCTCTCCTCCCTTCTCCTTTCCTCTCCTCTCGTCTCTCCTTCCTTCCTTCCTTCCTTCCTTCCTTCCTTCCTCTCTCTGTCTTTCTTTCTTTTTCTTTCTTCTTTTTTTTTTTTAAGAATTATTTTATTTAACTTTATTTATTTAAATTTGATCAGAGAGGGACAGAGTGAGAGAGGGAAGGTGAGAAAGCAAATCGCCAGGTCCTGGACTCAAACCGCGATTGGTCATGTGGGAGTTCAGCGCCCTTAACCACCATGCCATCTGCTGGCCCCAGGTGCTTCTCTTTTCAAAAGAGAATCTCATACACAGTGTTCCTCACACTTGCCTGGCCCAGGGATGCTGGTTACTATCCAGCTTGTCTGTGGCCCTGGCAGCATGGTTCTGTTATCTATGGAAAAGCTCTAGCTTGCTGTCCTGTCATTTTTAGCCTCCGAAGTGTTCTACAGGTTTCAGGCACCCCCCATCAGTGGATAGTGGTGGGCTGTGACTTGCCTTCCCTTTTTGTCCACTGGTACAAGGAGACATCTCTCTCCTTGACCCCATGGAGTCACATGGGTCACTCGGCCACACTAGTATGTGATGTATGCCATGGTGTTGCAAGGGACACTAATACCACGTACCCTTCTGTGCCGGTGTAAACCAGGGCCTGGTGCCACTTCCCCTAGGGACCATCCCCGAGCCCTTCCACCCTGAACTACCTGTCTCTGCTCCAAGCTCCATATCCCTGGGCGTCACTTCCTGGGGATTACTGGGAGCCCGTCATTCTGACTGTGAGCCTCCTTGACCCCTATTAGAATCCAGGCTTTCTGAGGACAAAAACTCTCTTACTCCCTGCCTCTACCGGTGCCCAGGGCACAGAACCGGCCCAGCAGTGAAAGGTACCTGGGTACAACCCAAATGCCACCTCCCACATCTGCGTGGAGTGGTTGTCCTGAGGCTCCACTGTGTCCCAGGAAGGAAGTGGCTCAACAGCTGCCCCTATCTTGCAGGCCATCTACGTGCTGGACTTCTTCTGGAATGAAACCTGGTATCTGAAAACCATCGATATCTGCCATGACCACTTTGGCTGGTACTTGGGCTGGGGTGACTGCGTCTGGCTGCCGTACCTTTACACACTGCAGGTGAGGCTACAATCAGGGCAGTGGACAGTGAGCCCTACTGGGTGCAGCGACCACCCAGCAGTGTGTTCAGCTCTTCAGTCCGCAGGCAAACCTGGGCCCTCCGACCACACAGCGCCTCATGCTAAGCACTGCTCCTCGCAGGAACATCTGTCTGTGGGGTACTGATTTCTAGGGAGATAGAATCGGTTCAGCCTGTTGGAGGGACTAAGTTATAACTTGGCAAGGCCACCAGCCTGGAGAGGTGGCCCTGAGTACATTCCCAAACATCTGCAAAGTCAGGCAGAAGCGTTAGGGCTGAACAGAGTCAGGGAGCCAGGGAGTGCCAACTCAAAACAGGACTCATTCCTGCACCTGCGGTGCCCCAGGCACTTCAGTGGTACTGCTTCATTTGTGAGGCAGTGCTGGACAGCGAGAAGCCTCCTCAAGACCCCCTCCTAACTAGCACAAGAGCAGCCTTGCTTTGATCGGGGTGGCATGCTGGGCCCTCAGGTAAGGCGGCCATTTGGAAACCCTGACCAGATGCCACCTATTTGAGTCACGAATGAGGAGGCCCAGGATTGGAAAGAACTCACTCTAGGGCACTGGTCTAGGTAGTGGCACAGGGGGTGGCCTGCCTTGAGAAGTCTGCAGTGTGGAAAGGCCTTGCCACCTGTTCAGAGTGTGAACGGCCAGGCCTTAAGTGTCAGAGCCAGTTGTGTGGAGGATGAAGACCCGAGCTGGTGATAGTGATCTGACCACCTGTGCGAAGATTCTGGGCTGGCAGTGGGGTGGGAGTTCGAGAACCCTGGGCACCAGCCTCACACTCGTTAGCACTCATGGAGGTCTTCAGGGCCCCATAAGGACCGCCTGTGCCATTTCTCCACCCGGGCTGTGAGCTCACAGGTTCCCTACCCTGTGAACCCCTTCTCCAGGCACGTGAAACCGTACAGCAGATCTCCCTTACATAGCGCTTACTGTGTTCCAGGCCTTGTTTTAGCCTCTGTGTATTAAGCATAGACATACATTTTTTGTCAGACTATATTTGTATTAGGGCTCTCCAGAGGTAAAGAATCAGAAGGTGTGTGTAAGAGAGAGAGATTTATTTTTTGCCTCACGTAATAATCTGGGTCAGGCAAGCCTAGTATTATTCGTGTATTTGTGTATATATAATATGTATTTATATATATAATACATATATAAGTATATTATATAAATATATAATATAGTTTATATCTTATAAACATATGTAAGTTATAAAATATATTTTATGTAATCTGTATCTTATATTTATACTGTATATATAATAAAATATACATTATAAAACATGGATTTTATATATAACACAAAATATATAAGATATAAAATATATATTGGGTCATTGGAAAAGTCATGAGGTATTTTCTGTGCAAAAATGTGTCATGACTACTGATGACCCAAAATATGACATAAACAAAATTTTACCTTTTATTTCTTATAAAAATATATATATTTTTTACACATCACATATAAATCTGTAATCTGTTTTTATATTATACACACGCAGAGATAGGTAGGTAGGGGACGGTGGACACATTTTGCATATTATTTGTTGCTTGTAACAACCGTCCGAGGCAGGAGCTTTTATTTACACCAGAGAACACTGAGGTAGAACTTGTGTTGGACAGAGCCGGCGTCTGACCCCGGCTGCGGGCTCCCTGGCCCACGGTCCTGCCCGCCCTGCTGACTTGCTTCTCTCCCCTGCCAGGGTCTGTACTTGGTCTACCATCCAGTGCAGCTCTCCACCCCCCACGCGGTGGGCGTCCTGTTGCTAGGCCTGCTGGGCTACTACATCTTCCGCATGACCAACCATCAGAAAGACCTGTTCCGCCGCACCGATGGGCGCTGCCTGATCTGGGGCAGGAAGCCCAAGGTCATCGAGTGTGCGTACACGTCCGCCGACGGTCGGAAGCACCATAGCAAGCTGCTGGTGTCGGGCTTCTGGGGCCTGGCCCGCCACTTCAACTACACAGGTGACCTGATGGGCAGCCTGGCCTACTGCCTGGCCTGCGGCGGGGGCCACCTGTTGCCTTACTTCTACATCATCTACATGGCCATCCTGTTGATCCACCGCTGCCTCCGGGACGAGCACCGCTGCGCCCTCAAGTACGGCAGAGACTGGGAGCGCTACATCGCCGCTGTGCCTTACCGCCTGCTGCCCGGGATCTTCTAAGGGGCATCCCACGGAGAAGCGCCGGGGAGGCTGTGAAGAACATTGGAGGGTTGAACGTTGTGGGCTTCGCACCACAGCTCCACCCTCTGGGAGCCTCAGTTTCCTCATCTGCTAACTGGAACAAGTCTGGCACTTATAGGTGTCCAGTAATTGCGAGTGTTTTTTCCTTTCCCCTTTCCTGAGGGGAATTCTAAGAGTTTACACCAACTGCCTTCTCACCAGCAGAAATGACTCATTTGTCTCTTGTGTCCCCCGAGGGCAGGAGGGTGGCCTGGTCACCTTTAGTAGCCCTTTGGTGGTAGAGTTTCTTTGTACTGGGAGCCGGGGTGCACCGCTCAGACACTGGTGTCTGACCTTTATCAGGACGTCTTCCAGCTTCCAGTGATTAGGACTGCACTGATTCCACTAAATTAAAGTGGCAGTGGGATAAGTGAGGTGTGCCGGTTATCAGTTCATTGTCTCTCGCGCCACACACACCCTTCATTACCTGCTCTGTGCAGTAGCGGCTGGCTCTCCAAACAGTTCTAGGGGTGCTGCTTGTCACAGTGCTGCTCGTCAGTAGATGGTGCTGAGACGTTGCAGGAGGAAGGGGCTCTCTATTATAGTTCTGGGGCTCCCATTTTGTGTTCTTCTTGCTCCTACTGCCTGCCTGCCCTCTGGAAGGGTGTTTGCTGCCTGCTTCATGACTGTGCACAGACTCTGATGTGGGTAGCACAGAGGGCTTCATCATCCAGGGGGCTTCTGCCACACCTTCAATGACAAGGTCAGAATCACAGACTTGGAAGGGGAATCCCCTTTCGAGGTTTTTTTTTTTTTTCCTCCTTCCCCCTTGCTGTTGGGTGCATGCACTCTCTTGAGAGAGAAGGGTGCCCCCCCCGGGAGGGAGAGGAAATGGTCATACCACTGTTTCTTCTCCTCTTGGGATTTTGGGCACACAAGTACAGAGCCAGTGTGTTTTTCAAGCCACCAGGTCTGGGACTCGAACTGCACAGTTGCCCAGGTGGGATCTAACTACCTTAACCACTATGTCACTGACTGGTCTTCAAGGTGGTTTATTACCTGGGTATTCTTCTTCAACCCCAGGTACCCTGCGAAACTCCTTAAACGTTCTTCTAGTACAGTTAATAATTTTATTTGTTTGTTAGAGGTTATGTGTGCTGACCAGAGAGAGGGAGAGAGAAAGCACCCCTCAGTGGGGCATGGTCATGTCACAATCCCTTTTTTTTTTATTTATTTATTTTATTTATTTACAGTGGGGCATGGTCATGTCACAATCCCTTTTCATTCATCTCTTTGTCCTGTCAGGATTTGGGGCACACATGCCTTGTGTATTTTTTCAAATCACCAGGGCTGGGATTCAAACTATGTTGACCAAATGGGATCTGGTTCCCAATATATAGTGCTTAACCACTGCACTATGGGGCAGGCCCAGAGTTAATCATTCTTAATGTTAACATTTTTGGTTCCAATAAGTTACTGTGTGGTTTCTATCTCTGGAATAGGTCCAACTGCTATGCAAGAATACTATCTCTGGTATGCAGAGGGGATGCTAAGCTTTGATTAGATCTTTGGGTGTAGCATCAAAACATTAGGTATTCACCAAGGGGGTTGAGTGTGGCACTCTCCCTTTCTCCACCGCCCACATCAGCCCTTTGCTGGGACTATTCTTGGGTTAGATGTTGGGAGTCCATTTCGTTTGGCAAAGGGACAGAGCCCAGTCTGGCCACCTGCCCTTGTCAAGTGAAAGAAGCCAGGAAGAGGGCATCAGGCTTGTCTTGGCACAGCAACACTCACTTGCTTCAAAAAACTGGTTGAACAGACAGGCTGCCTCCTAAGGAACCTGGAGGGAAGAAGAACTGCTGGCCTCACCCAGCTGGTTTTAGAGCTGCTACCTGACTCGACCCTGCCCGTTTGAGCTCGTGGGACTGAGAGTCCTGGCATGCATGTTTAACATGAATCCCATGAGTGACTTGGTTACCTGTCAGATGGGACCCCTGGCTTCCATGGCACCAAATCTAGCTGACCTTGTCTTTTCTTCCCAGACTTTGAGGAAATTCATCTTGGGAAGCTGGGGTCTGACAGTTGAGAGTTCAGGTCTGGAAGCCCCACTGCCTGCCTTTGAAATCTGCCTCCACCATTTAATAACTGTGTGGCCTTGAGCAGATGACCTACCTTCTCTGTTTCCTTACTTGGCAAGTGGGGGTGGGTCAGCCTGTGGCCTAGTGGTTGAGGGAGCAAGCTCCCACAGGGCTGATGTCAGCCCCAGCTCCAGTGGCTTGAAAAATAGGCCAGGTATGGGAGTGCTTGCCTCAAACCCTGATAGGATGGAGAGATGGAGAGATTTGGGTGTGTCCATGCCCCACTGAAAGGTGATTTCTCCCTCTCTGTTTCTCTCTGATGAATGTGTGCAATAAAAGAGAGAAAAGTGGGTCATTATTATCTTCCTGCTTTGAGTGAGAAGGGCTTTCCAGACAGATCTTGTGGGTGACCTTAAGGATGAAATCTTCAATCTGCTTCTTCAGTTGACTGAAGTTTTCTAAAAATTTTTTGTCTTAGCATTTCCAAGCTGGCTGTAATCTCATCTTCTGTGCACTGTGTATTTGTGCATTTGTACAACGGACCCAGCAAGCAAGGCTGTGCCTGTGGACACTGCCCTGCCCCTCCCCCTGCAGCTTCCAGGTATATTTGCCCTTACCCATCCTCAGGCAAAGGCCACTTCTTCCTCCCCAGGAGAGTAGAGTGAGCCCAGAAGTCAGTCACACGGAGACTAGATGTACCAACCTCTTTTCTTTGCTGGTTACAAAGTACATTGAGTTCTTAGTGAAGCCACAGCTCCCAGACCTCTGGGAAGGCAGCCTAGCCTCCAAGGTGAAGGGCAACCCAGATACTCATGGCCAGGTAGAATTGGCCTGTGCTCCACGGGATACAGCACTGCTCTGATAAAGGGCCCTGACTCTTAACCCTCACCCCCCTTCAAGTAGCCCCAGGGCAGGGCCACTGCGGGAGCCTAGGGAACAGTTCAGAGGGGCTGCAGTCCCACCAGGAGACTGAAAGGTAGCACACTCCCCCACCCCCAACCCCGTCTCTACTTCTGTTTTGCAAAACCGTATAAGGCCTCTCTTAGAATCCACTCTATTGGCTCCAACAATATCCTTTGAAGTATTCTTTTTTTTTTTTTAAAGTTTATTTATTATTATCATTATCTTGTTTATATTACATCAAATCATATGTATCTTTACAGTATATTACATTTCTTTTTAGAGAAGGAATATCATGCATATCAGTCAAGACAAAGACATTACTATCTCCAGCATCATCAAATAGCGTTTTATCATTTTTTCCAGATTATTATTATTTTTATTCTCATTAGTTTTTAAACATTCAATCACTATATATCATTTTGCTGGTAAAAAGAACTTACCCAACATGAAATACTTCTCAGACCAGTCCAGTTGAGAATACTCTACATGTTATCATCAACAGGTAATAAACCATTTCTGTGTCCCACTAATGTCATCTTCTCTATTTGTTCTCTTGCTATCCTTCTCTATACTCTTCCCTTCTCCTGCCCTGTTCCACACTGTCTTCCGCATCCCTAACTATTTTCACTGCTTTTATGCCCTCCAATATTTTGATCTCTACCATAAAGTGTGGATAGTTGGTATATATTAAGAGGATACGTACAATATCTTTCATATCCTGGCTTGTTTCACTCAGCAATAAATCCTCCATATCTGACCACTTTCTATCAAATGCCAGGGTCTTGTTGCTTTTTATGGCTGAGTAGTATTCCATAGAGTATATGTATCACACTTTTTCAATCCATTCATCTGTTTGTGGACATTTGGGTTGGTTCCATGTCTTAGCAATTGTGAATAATGCTGCAATAAACATTGACAAGTGCTTTTCTGACTGAGCATTCCTGTGAAGTGTTCTTTGGTCTGCAGTCAGGAGAATACTAATAAATATATTTTTTTTTTTGGTACTGAGAGTTTTTTGCTATAGGGCATGTGCACTCACCAAAGAGACAGAGAGTCAAAGAGAGACAGAGTCAAACAGCGAGAAATCACCTACCGCCCATGGCCACCCCTTTCTCCATTCTCTTCTCAGTATTTTGGACACACATGCACACATGCCCAGTGTGAGTTTCAAGCCTCTGGGTCAGGGACTCCAACTGCAGGCAGCCAGGTGGGAGTCCAGTGATGTAACCATATGCCATCTGCTGGTCCTAGAAGAATGCTAATCAATAATCAGCTATCCAGCATATCTCTCTGGCTCTGAAGGAGCTAAGTAGACTGCATGTGCTGTAAGGACATTGCCAATTATTTTGGGATGACTGGCATTGGAGGCAACTTGCCCCAAGTGACATAACTAGCAAGTGGTAGTGGCTGAATGTAAACCTGCCTATCTTAGTTTCTAATCCTGCTTTGTGGGTGAGAAATGAGGAGGTGATGGTCAAAGGGCACAGCTTCAGTTAGATGAGGATAAGGTTTGGAGATCTGTTGCACAGCTTGGCGACCAGAGTTAATGTATCATATATTTAGAAATTGCTTAAAAAGTAGGTCTTGGGTGGCAGGAGGCGGGCGGTCATAAAAAGTAGGTCTTATGTGTTCTCATCCTAAAAAAATAAGTAGGTTAGGTGATGGACATGTTGAATAGCTTTCCACAGTGTGTATAATCAGTTTGTGGAAAATGCGTATTATGAAAAATCTATGCATGAATTTCAAATTTTTTTGCACCGAAATAAACTAGTACTTTATTTCCATCTTCCACAGACTGTTTGAAATTTGGGACCCATTAATAGATGTAATAATTAGTTGTTAATTAATTAAATTAAGAAAACACAAATTATGAATGAAGATCTCAACATGTATTCAGTTTCTGTGGTAAAGGAGTAAAATCCAACACTGGATGATAACTTTGTTTTGACTATCACATGAGCAAACTTTGTCAAAATAAGAATGCCCGGTGATGCCGAAGTTAAAAGAGACATCCTGCTCTCTTACACAGCTAGGAAGACAATGCCATCTTTTTTTTGGGCGGGGGGGAGGTAGGCAAGTTCAATATATATATACAGACACTGGGAGATAAATACTGTGATCTCTTAATGCAGCTCAAGAAATTACCTGAGAAATTCAAGGAAGGAGAAAAACATTTGTCAATAGGACATTAATACAAGTGTGATAGTGTATTTTAAAATAAAGTATATACATGAAAAAAATACAGTTTGAGTATCCCTTATCCAAAATGCTTTGGATTTTAGATTTCTCAGAATTTGAATATTTGCCTCCCCATCATGAGACAGCTTGGGGACAGGACCCAAGTCTAGGCATGAAATTCATTTTTGTTTAATATATGCCTTACATACATAGCCTGCAAGTAATGATATATATTTTTTGGTATGGTAGCATTTTGATTGTGACTTGTCATATGT